AAAAAAAAAAAAAAAAAAAAAAGGGTGAAGAGGAGGAAGAAATTGGGGTACGAAAACGAGCATGGAGACGGAGTCTCAGAGATGGAGGAGGATGAGGATGAGCATGAGGACCAGTAGCAGCATCAGTGAGAGGCAGAGACAAAGAGGGGAGGGAGGGAAATCTGGAGTATGATGATGACCATTCCGAACCCGATCCCAATGCCGATGAAGATGCTGATGATGCTAGGGGAGAAGAGGGTGCAGAGGTGGGGAAGGGAGGAAGGGGAGGTGTGGCGGGGGGGGGGGGGGGGGGGGGGGGGGGGGGGGGGGGGGGGGGGGGGGGGGGGGGGGGGTGGTGAGGGGGAGGAGCAGGAGAGAACAATACACTGGGAATGAGTACTACGGTAGGTAAGCTAGTACCTGCATCATGTCGCCGATGTTGATTACAAAAGCTCCCTTGATTGGCTTCACACCAATCCATTTTCCGCCATTTAACACTTGTAGGCCACCGACATCGTCCTGCGAAATTACCGTCAGCGCTCCAGCGTCTTTGTGGCGATTCACTCCCATAACAACAGTGGGGTCAGGGCAGATGGGATAGAAGTTGAGGCGCATGATACTCGAATGCTTCTTGCCAAAGTATTGGTGAAAATAGTCTGCCTCAAGTCCTAAGCTCATTGCAATGGCCTCTAGAAGTTTAGTGGACAACCCCGTCATGACGTCAAAGTAGCGAGTCAAAACAGATCTGCACAAAGGAAAAAATTGAAAATATTTTGAAAATACATTTTTATAAGTCCGCACTGTCCAAGGATTGAACACGTGACCTCCATATCTGGAGGCAAACACTCATCCAAACGGCTAAGTGGACTGAGGTGAAAGTTAAGCCCCAAGATGAGCACTTAACCCCACCCCAACACGGGTACTTGTTTTTCCCCGTGATGCAGTGTACCCGGTCACACACATGCACAATCGAAGTAGACATAGCCACCACACAATGAAGACAAATCTGCACACCAGCCGGTAAAAGGAGGAAACCAGAAAAAAAAGAAGGAGAAGACAAAACAAGGAGATGAGGGTGGTACCAATCGATGGAACAGTGAATCAAAATCCTCCCTTCCACGTTCTTGATGCAAAACTCAACTTGAATGCCATTCAATGTACATCAAAAGCAAGTGGAAGAGACAAAAGAAGAGGAAGGAGGAGGAAGAGGAGGTAGAGGAAGATGGGGAGGAGGAGGAAGAAGAAAGAAGAGGAAGAAAAAGAGGAGGAAGAGGAGGATGAGTAAGGAAGAAGAAGAAGAAGAAGAAGAAGAAGAAGAAGAAGAAGAAGAAGAAGAAGAAGAGGAGGAGGAGGAGGAGGAGGAGGGGGAGGAGGAGGAGGAGGAGGATGAGGAAGAGGAGGAAGAAGAGAAAGAAGAAGAGGAAGACGACGAAGAGGAAGAGGAAGAAGAGGAAGAAGAGGAAGAAGAAGAAGACAAAGAAGAGGAAGAGGAGGAAGAGGAAGAAGGAAGAGGAGGAGGAAGAAGAAGAAGAAGAAGAAGAAGAAGAAGAAGAAGAAGAAGAAGAAGAAGAAGAAGAATCACTGGCTTCCTCCTCTCCTATGTGTTCCCCCTCCATCATCATCATCATCATCCCTCATAAAACTACTACTCCTATTTATTATAAAATATGATATAATAACAAGGAATGAATGAATGAACGAATAAATGAGCACGAATCAATGTCCGAAAGATCCCCCTTACTTCCTTGTAGAAAAAACTCCCTTGAGGTCTCCTCTCTCCTCCTACACCACCTTGCTGAGCTGGGAGCTATGGCGGTTCATCCTGGGCATGCACATATGTTCAACGGACAACCCAACTACCGTCTTCACCCGAATAGAACGCCTGGTCATTATAGCCGTATTTGGTGCACTTTTCAGTCCAGATACAGCTATAATAACCGGGCGTTCTATTCGGGTGAAGAAGGTAGTTTTCTATGCTTCTCCCTCCTCCTACTGCCATCGTTAGTCTCCTGAGATGAAGTCCAAGTCCAGCCAGTTTCCTCCAGGGGCCCTCCTTGAGGCAGTGCCAGCAGGAAGGGACGCGAAGATCATGGTGCCAAAAATAAGCCCTCCTTTCTGTTCCCTCCTTCTTCCCTCCTTCTTCCTCCTCCCAACTCCATAGCCCACTCTGGGCTCCTACTACTACTCCATCCATAGCCAGACACGCTCCCTCGCCTTCGCCATAGCCATGGAGCTCTTCTCCAGCACCCTCAACCTCCGCCTTGCTCACAAGCAGCTTCCCTTCTTCACCCTCTTGGCAGAGCAGCAGCATTGTCTGCTGGGCGAGTATCCGGCCTATACCCATAGCTCCAAATGATTTACTAGGGCCTCGCTCCACTACTCAACATTCTACATGCACTTGGACGCCTTTCTGGAACAGGTGCATTCGGAGTCGTCCAACATTTTGAATGAACTACCAGGACAATTATGAGCTCCAGATACATATACTGGAGCATTGTGTAGTGGAGCGAGACCCATGCTTATGACTCTCGGCGTCCAGTACCCTTGCCCGGGTACCTTCCTGGTCTACCACTGCACTACCATCTTCACCCGAATAGAACGCCCGATCATTATTGCCGTATCTGGACTGGAAGTTGCACCAAATACAGCTATAACGACCGGGCGTTCTACTTGGGTGATGATGGTAGGCCTACTGGAAAGTTCCTGCCTTTGGCGGGAACATCGTTGCACTCTGCAATCTTCCCCCAGCAGGGCTTGAATCCAACCCTATATCCGTCTACATACAGCCGCTGGACCATCTTGACCTTTTGGAAGCTACGGGACTTTCTCCTAAGCTTTTGCCGTACCATCCTGAGCCGACCCGAGTTACTTAAAAAAAAATCCCACTGGGTGCCTGACTTCTTTGTGGAGGCTGCAGTTCGCACTACGACATTGTTCGCAACATGTTAAGGGCCAGAACCCACTGGCAATTTTGTGGGAAAGAGGATTGGAAAAAGTGTCTGAATCTGGACGTGTTCCACACGTAGATGCAGAAAAGTGGATCAACCACAATTTTTTGCACCTGTCCACAAGCACGTCCAGATTCAGACACTTACTACAATCCTCTTTGCCAGTGGGATATCGCCCTAAACAATACCTTACCTTATCGCAAGAGGCTCAACTCTTACAACAACCGATGAAGGCCTCCAGCGAGCCTGTGGAGGCTCGCCGCCTGCAGGGTTGGAAACGAATATAGGAACCCCTCTTCTTCTAGAACTTCTAGTAAGTCCCTCTGAAGCCAAATTTAGAGTCCGCCCCTGTAACTAAACCTAGTATACGCTCCTCTACCCCTATCAGAGGCACAGAAACACAGCTGCATGGAAAACCCCTAGTCTTCTAGAACTTCCAGCAACTCCCTCTGTAGACAATTTCGCTTCTGCCCCTGTAACTACACCCATCTGCTTCTCTACCCCTATCAGAGGCACAGAAACACAGCACTAACAACCGGGCTAGCATGGTGACAGATACTTAGACACAGGCAAGCTCACGGCATACATACATCACTGGCAGGTCACACACAGGGCATCGCCACACCACTCTCGAAATATGCAACATGAGAATCAACTTTCTGCTAGAACACGGCCAGATGCATCCGCCACAGTTTTGTCTTTTTCACATTTCGAGATTGGTGTGGCAAGGCCCACATGCTCGGAAAACACAGCAAAAAAGACCCGGCTTTTTTTTTTTTTTTTTTTTTTTTTTTTAGATATTATACCGATCAGAACAGATGGGACACTTTATCGTAGCCAGAGGGAACAGATAGGACACTGAATCTTAACCGGACCTGGCTGCATCTGGCCATAATTCCGTCCAGAAATAAGCACAAAGTCCTTGTGTGAGTATGCCCTGAGAAAGGTGTGATATGGGGCCTCGCTGCACTACTCTCGACATGCACAAAAAACAAAAATCATGGCCGTGTATCTTTCCATATTCAAGCGGAAGATTCACTCTCGTTTTGCACAAGAGATCAAGAACAGTAACTTTTCTCAAAAAATGCAGATTTCTCAGGGCATACTCACACTAGGACTTTGTACTTGTTCCTGGACGGAATTACGGCCAGATGCAGCCTACATTTAACTTGATTTGAGATAGTGGTAGTTCCCAGTACACCCCAATTGTAATCATCTGTGGTCCAGATTCTGAACACTATCAATACTTGTAATCTGTCGTCCAGATTTTGGGCGTCGCTCAACTACTGTCGACTTGCACAAAAGCCAAACATTATGGCGGTGTATCTTTCCATGTTCTAGCGGAAGATTCACTCTCGTTTTGTACATTTCGAGAGTAGTGGAGCGAGGCCCTTTGGACCCTGTCAATACTTGTAATCGATGGTCTATGGGCGTCGCTCCACTACTCTCGACATGCGCAAAAGACAAAAATAATGGCGGTGTGTCTCTCCATGTTCTAGCGGAGGATTCACACTCGTTTTGCTCATAATCTATGGTCTAGATTGGATAATTGGTTGGAGTCCCAACCCAATCTGGACCGACCGACCGTGAAGGTTCCTGGCAAGCCAATTTGGCCGCAGGGAATGTATCAGACTTGTTTTTGTCAGATTTGCACCGACCTTGTTCTTCACATACGAGAACAGCCGCTGGATTAAGTCCGCAGCGTGTCGTGCCGTCACCGGGAAATTTCGGAGAACTGGTAAAATACGGGTGAGAGTTTTTTTCAGGTATTCCTGTTAAACCACCAGTACTTGGCCCAGCTATCGGCCGCAGGAAAAAATAAAGTAGAAACGTTTCTTGTCGGATGAATTCAGGCACTCCTGTAGTAGCCCGTACGTTTCCTAAAATTGTGGCGCGTTAACGGGCATGACTCTAGGAAGTACTGGTGGTTTAACGCCTGCTTTCCAGCAGGTGTAGCTCCCCACCAATAGAATGGATCCCCCTGCAAGATAGGTAGGAGTGTATGCTCGTATCATCATTCCTATCTGTCAATGCAGGGTTAGAAGAAGAAGAAGAAGAAGAAGAAGAAGAAGAAGAAGAAGAAGAAGAAGAAGAAGGGGTATTCCTGTTAACATGCTATACCAGCAAAAACCTAAAGAAGTAAGGAAAAGTTGCACTCTTTGAGAGGATGATACTCACCTGCTCCTGGCTGAAGCTGTCCTTCCTTACGGCCAGATACATCCATAAAGTCCTCCAGTGAGTATGTGCTAAGACTACCCTGGGCGGCTTGGCAGCTTCGCCAGTTTTGCTTCATGCAATGCCATACCGTCTTCACCCGAATAGTACATTGTTTCTAGACTAAAAACTGGCCCGAATAAAAGCTAATATAATGACCGTGCCCTCTACTCCATTGAAACGGTCGCCTGGAGCTAGGTAATTAGAGGCGGCATGAAGTTATGTCCATAGCGGCTAAGGCCATACACACTTGCACCTGGAATCTAGCGCACTTATCTGGGCAGACAGTGCAGTTAGATTCTCTTGAGAAAGTCCTATTATAAATGCAGGTAATATCCACCCCCGTCGCTCTCTCAGAAACCCCTCCTCACACCAGCTTATAGTGAGCTTCGCCAACTTTGTCAGCTGCTTCGCTAGCTTCACCACCGCCTTGCCAGCTTAGATATACATTTAAACCACCAGTAATTCCTAAGGTCGTGCCGGTTAAGAGCCACGATTTCAGGAGATGTACTGGTCACTACAGGAGCGCCCAAATTCATCCAACGAGAAATGTTTCGACTCTATTTTCCCTCCACGGCCCATA